ACTTACCACTATTTGGTGATTTCAAGTGTTTCATTGTAGGTTGTTGAAATTGAAAAGAATCTAAGGTTTTCCCATCCTATGATTCTCGAAGGCGGAAGCATTCACATAGATGGTCAGGGTATTTAAATTTCTATTCATTATTCAATGGTTGAGAATAAAGTCAAGACCTGATCTTTTATGTGATTTGTAAGTCTTAGCCATTATAGTTCGTAAAGTTGTAGCTGCCAGTTGCATTGAACCGCTAACCCAGAACAAGAACTTCTATAGTAAATCTTGAGGTTTTCTTATGGAATGCACTGCTCTTTGTTTTAGAAGAAAAAACTAAATCTTGTGTTGGTCCTTTTATTGTGTGTTGGTATTTATTCCTAAGTTGATGGTAGATTATTTGTAGGGTAGATACATGTTATGACCAATAATTACAATAAAATATTTGGGAGATTGGTTTTGTCAAATAGATGAAACTAACAAGACACTGAGAAGTGTTGGGAATGGACAAGTATCAAAGGGATGTGGTTGACTGGAAACTAGAAGCTGGCAAGAAATATTTCTTCACCAGAATCAATCTTAACAATTGTTGCTTTTGCTATTAGTAAAAAGTATGTAGTTTTGTAGTTCTATATTTGTTTTTTTTTTCTTTTCTGCATCCATCCAATTGTTGAATTAAACACCTAGATACTAGCAATTGAAATAATAAATAAAAATACAAATTTTAAGGATTTAAAGTTTGAGTCTTTATGGGAACATATATTTTTCAGTATATGATATTGAAATACGAGATCGAGAATTTCGGTGACTGTTGGAAATTTTAACGTAATCATATGAAGCAGTCAGGTTACACATCTTATGAATTTTCTTGACATGGGTGGGACAACTAATGTGATTGATTGTTTGATTTTGCTATTGTTGATGACACATTACAATGATAAGGGTTGTAGGAACTCATCAACAATCTTTCGAAGTAGTTGATCAACATAGGAACTTGACATAAAGTATTTACCTTACAAAATAAATTAGGGAATGAAATGTGCCCGACAGTACCTACATTTAATCTCTTGCCGACTTTTCATTTAATAATCGACTAAACTTGGCAAACTTTGAACCACTATTAGGCGATGAAAAACATTTTTTTTAGGCAAAAACATGAGTAAATAAATAAATATTTAGTTGCACTGTTTAATTCTTTATGCATTGTTGTCAAGTTATTTAAGCTAGATTTATAAATGCAATAAATGGTGGTTATGTGTATTTTAAAATTTTTCTAAATATTAGTTATAATTATAGACTGGACTAGGGCCGGCTGTGCGTGCACAGCCGGGTCCAATCTAGTATATATATATATATATATCTCTTATCTCTTATATCATATATGAACGAGTTAGGCCTATTCAAACGACGACACGTGTCTAATTTGAGCTCTTAAAAAATTGACACGTGTCTGATTTTATTACAATTTTGCCATTGTTTTAATCTGTATTTTATTAATTTTTTTTATTTATATATTTTGCAGTAGCCACACGTAACCCTACCGCCTTTCACCATGCTCAGTCAAAAAGCAATCCCCCAAAAAAAAGGTTTTCACGTACGCCTCTTTCGCCTTTTATCCTAACACGCAACACTCCCTCGTCTTCATTCTCTTTCCTTCTTTCTTCTTTTCTCCCAACGATTTACCCCAGTTCTCCCTCCGTACGACAGGCTCTTGCAGCATAGATCTACGGTGACCCATCGATAGAGAGCAACGAGCAGCTCCGGGAATCCACGCGGCGGCGCTAACCCTCCGTTCGCGAACGAGCGGAGGAATCGACGGAGTCTAGAGCCGTGGCGAAGGGACACCAGTTGAAGAGCTTGAAGGCGCACGATTCTATTGCGGAAGGGAATCAACTAAGCCACGCTGTGGGCAAGGAGCTCTGCCGTCAACTGCCGCATTTACCTGATTCAGGGTCGCCGCCGTCTTAATGGGTAATTGTTGCGTCAATATATTATTTTTTCCTTGTATTTGCCTCTTTTCCTGTTGTGCGTACGACTGTGTGGGTGTATGTGTGTCATTGTGTGTGTCTGTGTGTGTATGTCTGTGTTTTGGGGGTGGGGCTACCTGGATTTTGTTTATCTTATAAAGCCCTGATTTGTGCTTTTTTCTACAATTGAGTTGTTTGGTTACATTTATTAAAAAATATGTCGATCTTTTTACTTTCTGTTAAATGTATTTTGTGGTTCGGTTTCTACAGTCCTAGGTGTAGGGTTTTTTACATTGAAATTTAAGGATAATGTGTTGATTTTTTTTTTTTTTTTTTTGGATCTTAAATGGCGGTGTCTACAGAAAAGGCGGGGCTTAGAGGAGGAAAGAGATTCATGAATATTCCCTGATATAAAAAATGCCGATATATGCAGGCGGACATTGTAAGTATTTTCTGAAATTTGATGTGCCATCTTTCAAGATGAGTGACGTTATCTTAGAAGCCTGTGGTATTGGTTTTACAATGTTGGTTAATCGGCATGTTTTGATTTTGTCAGTTATTTGAAGATCTGCCAAATATTTTGTTCCGACTTTTAAAACGAATTGTTGTCGCGGTTTGGCTCAACTTCAAATATGTGCAACAGCCTTTTCCGCTTATATGTTAGACACATATTATGTGTTGGATTCTTAGGATCATATTATGTATAGTAGTTTTAGATTATCTTTTTCTCTTTTTCAAATTTCCATTTCATTTTTTGTCTCCCTTAAAATGGTGGAAATCCATATAATTTGAGCAAGGGATGAGGAGAAGCAGAGATTTGTGAGGTGTTGGTTTTACCGTTGACGGTGCGCCTAGGAGTCAGAGTTGCCACTCTCAGGCATTTATCGAGTAATATTTCTAAATTCAGATCGTGTTTCGTTTCTGCTAGCACCTTTTTGTAATGATTATATGTGAGGGTTTTTTTTTTTCTTTTTTTCACAAAGAAGGTGAGCGCGACAGTGAGGTTGAGAGATCGAGATGTGGAGGCCGAGGCGGTGGTGGAAGTTATAGAGAGAGAGCGTGAACATGGACTTGAGTGATGAAGAGTGCCTTGAGGATGGCATGGAGACGAGAATTCTCCAGCAGATATAAGCACTCAGGTGCCGACGTAGCCTAACTGTCGAGGTCTGCGTATTCTCCTGTCGTCGTTGGTGCTCAGAGTCTCCGTCAACCAGATGCTCGGTGTTTTTGTACCCTGACGAGCTTGCTCTGGTAAGTTATTTTTGTAAGTGTATTTTGGTATGTCGTCGGGGTTATATTTTTTCTCCTCATTTTCCAAATTTTCTTACCTTTTGTTCCATTGATGTTAATTATCTTTGTTTTGTTGTACTTTTTCATAACTTTCTATAGCATCAGTGAAGAAGTTTCACGGTTGTATAAATTCAGGCAATGGTGGCTTTGGGGAGAATCCAATAAGCTGGAAAAGACGACGCCGTCGAATTCGAAGTCGTCCTCAATGAGTCAAGATGAGGCCGAGATCAAGGTGGTTGAAGCTCTGTTCGATCTGATGAAACAATCTCATTCATATGAAAGGGAAAAGAAAGCCTATAGAAACAGCACAAATGAAAACGATGAAGGTACTTTTGCAATTTATATGTGTATAATTATTTCTCCCTTTCAAATTGTTCATTCGTTTGCAACAATTTAATAATTTACTTGTTTCTGTTTGTTACTTTGTCTTTTACATACAATTTTGAAAATTTAAACTCAGGTCTGAGGCAAATTTTGTTGACAGTGATTTAAATATTAACAAATACTACTGCTACTTCTACCGATTGGCATAAATTTTGGTATGAATGGCTGATTTTTGAATAGATATTTGCAGCTAATATTTTCAAACTTATGGCTTGGCTGGCTATTATCCTGAAGCATCTGATTTGTAGTAGTATTAGTGAAGGCTTTTCTGATAGGTAGATTTGCATGAGTTGTACAAGAAAAATTGTGTTGAACTGATTGGTGACAAGGTTTAGTGTTTTTTTTTTATGTTACTGACGTATTAACTTAATTTTAATTTTTTTTTTTCAGGCAACTGCTATTAATAGGGTTGCATATGTTTTGGGGGGTTGTAATACAGCCTAGCCCTAGGTATAGACAGAGAAGGCTCATGGGGCTTGAGATTGCAGTTCAGTGTGCTTGTAGAATTGAGGGGTGCGTGGGGTTTGGCGTTGGCAAAATGTCTTTTTGGTCGTGCATCCATACATGGTATGCTGGTTTTTTTTTTCTTTGGGTTATATATATTGTTATTATTCTGGTTGATAGTGCAAATATGTATAATTGTATGTATTGGATGATGTTGGAGTGGCTCCGTTTATACATAACATTTGAGAGATGTATCAATAATCGGTAGATTGTTTTACTTAGCATTATTAACTACCGAGCAGGGATGTGAAATGTTGCTTGAGGACTACCTTACATTTACCTGGTGGGCTAATTATAGCTAATTAGTTATTTGGTTGTTTGAGTGAAATATGTGTGTGTGTGTGTGTGTGTTTTCATCTGGTGTAATGCTTTAACTACTGTACCATAATTGTTTGCTTTCAGATTGGCCTTTCAAGTAAAGCAAATTGCAACATTTGTTTAAAAGGGCTGATTATATCCAGGTAAAAAGAGTATGTTTTGCGGACATAGATGTTCTCATTTTCTATCATTGTGAATTTTCTTTTTATCTGTATTAGTTCCACTTAATGTTAAACTTTATTTACATCAGAGGTGACTTTTATTTACATCATAATTATCTGAACCATATCTGGACTTCTTCACATTTCCTGCTCTTCGATCATATATATGAATCGTCTTTTTATTCAAGTTACCCTTGTTAAATTAATAAAAAAAATCTACTAAACATTGGCATTGGTGCTTTATTTCTTAACAAATCAAAAGAAGAAAGTTGAAGAGAGTCGATCTACACCAGAGAAGAAGAAGAAGAAAGGTACTGAAAAAGTGGCGCAGAGTAAAGAAGAAGCACTTAGTGTTAGTTCGCTTGAAATACACTGTTCATATTCGCAAAACATGGAAGCATCCATCGACCAACAGGTGAGTGACTCGACTATTTGTTTTTCGGAAGTTGATATTTTATTCCATTGTGTTGCTTGGGTAGTGGATATATCTTGCTTAGGTACTTTGATTTTTTCTGTCGGGACAAATGTGTCTCTTACAGAATTTGACTAGACTTTGCAAAATCTTTTTTATCCTTGGTTAGTGTTTATGTAGTTTATAAAAAAATTGTTTTTGTTTGTAGGCAGAGGAGGATGAAATGATCTGCCTCAACTACGTTAGGGTTCTCAAACAGGAAATAGTTGAGTATACTTTCATGATTTATGGCTCGAACGCCATTCTCATGCTTCTCAGGTGATGTTCCCCTCGGGCAACTTCTACATATTTTATTTTTGTTAACCTTATCAAACAACTTAAATAATATCGCGTTATTAAGAAGGCCGTGACATCCATTTGTACAGAATCTCGAGCAATTGTCTAAAGTGTGTTTTTGGTCCAAGCAATAATATACAGGTATCCTAAATATTCATTCCTATATTGTTCATAAACATATGCTTAGGATGGTGCTGAAAAAAATAAGAGGACCAAACATTGTCACGTGGTGTTGTGAAGGTATCTTTATAGCTTATGATTGGGGGTATTATATAAAAATTGTGTGGCGAGACTTTTTACAGTAGATAATATATATAAGTATTTGCCACTATGGCTGCTGAAATGTATGTAAATTAATAAATTTGAGATTAAGATGTTAGAGAGCTACTTGGCTAAGTGACGATCCTGATAACTTGAATGTTGGATTAGTTATATGTGCTATCATCGTAATTTGAATATAATAGCAACAACTTTTGACAGATTTTCACACTAGTTTTACACCGGGTGTTAGACCGCCGTGCGTGCACGGCGTAAACCCATCTAGTATATATATATATATATAGCACATCTTTCACTAAAACCGAAGCTCAAAATACTAGGCCCAAAATCATCAATAAAACACCCCATCATACAGTTATATATATATAGCGCACATGTAATATCCCATTCAGTTATTAGTAAAAAGTATCAGTTAATTTCCAAGATTAAGCTATTTTGAAGCTTAAAAAGT